AGTGGCGGGGGCTGCTGGTGTGTGTGTGTGTGTGTTGGAGAGGGGGAGGGGGCGCAGAGCCGGGGGCGGGGCTTGGGCACGTCAGGGGGCGGGGCTGCGCGGGGAGGGGGCCAGAGAGAGCGGGGTGGACTCCTGTCGCTCAGATACTGGGGTGAAGGAGTGAAGGAAGGCAGGAATGAATGAACAAATGAGCAGTTAATCTGCCTGCTTCCTGCCAACTTAAAAAAAATACTTTATTTCTTTTTTTAATTGATTTGAGAGAGAGAGTTGTTGTTCCGCTTATTTTTGCATTTATTGATTGCTTCTTGTATGTGCCCTGACCCAGGATGGATGGGCGCATCCGGAGGACGCTGTAACCAACTGACCTACCAGGCTCCTGGCAACTCTCCTAGCCTTTCCTTGAGTGCCTTTTGGGTTTTGCTACCTCCCTGCGCACAGTCTCTGTTCCCGAGCACATCTAGCCTACTTTGTATGCCTCTTCCCAGCTGTGGGATGCTCCACTCAGCCTATGGGTCTCACTTCCCCAGGGACAGAGGCATGTGAACCTGATGCTAGCTAGCCTCACGGAGTCCCACAACTGGAGAGGATGCAAGAGGGGAGATGCACAACAACACCAAGTTGAGTACAGGGATACGAATGCACACAGGAGCAGAATTTGTATCACAGAGAGAGTAGAGATCTTCAGGGAAGGGGGAGGGCATGCTCAGCAGGGTTTAGAAGAATGAATATGAGTTCACCAGGTAGATCAGTGTAAAGGCCATTGTTGGCAAAGGGAAGAACATGTGCAAAGACAGCAGACAGGCAGAGAGTAATTGCTGAAGGGAAGAAAGAACCTTTCCATCCAGCTCAGAGACTGATGGGGGAGCCCTGGAGTCAGACTACTGAATCCCAGCTCTGCTATTGACTTGCCAAACATCCCTGAGCAAATCCCTTCTCTCTCTGAGCCTCAAGACCCACGTTTATAAGATGGGTATAATAATTCCCTCCTGGGTAAGCCTGAGGTAAATGGATGTGTATTAAAGTTTATCCAAATAAATGGTACGAATTCATGGTGTAGGAAATTCAATCAACCCCCTTCCTATTGTCATGGTGGCCCTTGAAGGCAAAGCAGAGTGACCAAACAGCTTTACCTTTGCCCTCCACACCATACCTGTTCAAACAGACACCCATTATCTGGTTGAAATTCCATTTCTAACTTTTCCCTATAAAAGTTTTATGACCCCTGGAGGCTATGTTTAGAGGTGCAGTCATCAGAAGCTATTGACCCTGGATCAGAGACTAGATTCCCAGGCGAGCTAGTCTATTTTGGGGTGGCTGAGTCCTGTGAAATAGGATTTAACTCCAACAAGGAGGGAACAGCAGAAAAAACATAAGGGAGGAGCATCTGAGCCTGGAAGGTTGGGTTGGCGGGGGGAGAGGGAGCATGAAGAAATAAATGCCTGAAAGTGGGTCATGAAGGTGCAGCTTAAGCCAGAGAGAGCCAGGCTAAGTAGCCCCTGTGCTCGAAGTGCTGGGGGCTGGGAGAGGGAGGAGACGAGCATAGGGGGAATTTGAATTAGAGAAGAAGCTGAATGGTGAGGGTCACAAAGGCCCTCAAATGCCAGGTATAGGAGTTAGGACTTTATTCAGTAGGCAGTGGAG